CTAACAACTTTATATTTTCCTTTGATGAAACGAGATGTCTTCAAGAATACGCTAAAGAACGCTTACTTACGAAGTTTCAAGCGCTTTATTGTCAAGTGTTGCGCAGACGAAGTCTGTAGCACTTTAATGTTTTATCTAAAGTAGTTTTTCTTTTGATGATGCGAGCTTGGTCGCACGTAAGTAGAGACACTTATAAACACAGCCTTTGATAATTTCTATACCTGCTTCTCAAGTTCTCGTGCTTCATTAGGCTTACTGTGCATGTTTATTCTATCTGAATAAATGACTAGTCATTTTGAAAATAGTTCTATTTGATCTTATACTTAATAGTCTGTACTTAAAGACGACTCATAACCTTTAAGTTTAGTGATTGGTCACCTAGCAACATTTTCGTCAACAGTTGTACCTACGGTATTACATTGTTGGTTTTAAGACCCAAGTGACCAGCCAATAAGGCGGCGGCGTGGCGTGGTCTACCCGGTCAGGCGACTAGTTAACTTGGAACAAGTTTAGTGCTCTGGGCTCAAAAGACCACGGATAGCGTGATCCGAAACTTAATATTAGCCAACTTTACTAAACTAACATTTGCTCACATATTAGCATCACAAAACGCGAATGAGCGTTGCAAGATGTTGAACTGAGAACTGAGAACTGAGTACATTATGATGATGAGTGCTTGCTAAAATGTTTGACTCTAGCACTATGTCTTTTGTGTAGAATTAACGTAGTTATGTAACACTATTTGAATAACTTTAATTTCTTCGATTTCTTGTTATGTTATGTATGAAGTTTTTAGTACGTATAGGAAAGTGAAAGACATTATTTAGAATTATAGATATCGTATATTTCTATTACCTACACATCCATAACTTATACAATACAATAAAAATGAAATTACCGAATGATATGCGTAAAAGTACTTTAATTTAGTTCGACATCGACGATTGATGAATGAATAAAGTTCAGACAATAAGGACTTTAATGCTTTGCTATAAAATAAGAATTGGTTCACGTATAAAGGAACAAAATTGTTTGATGTTATAGTAATATAAGCGTTATGATATGTAGTAGTATTTTCGAGTTATTTATGGCTTGTTGGATATGTCAATTATCTATAAAGTTGGATACAGTCGTTATATTTGATGTGCTACGACTTAAAGGCGCCTCGAGAGGGTTTTTACACTCAGTACGCAGATATGAGATGCGCACATTATTCCTTCAAAGTGATGAATAAGGGTAGAGAAATATACAGGTTTTTTAACACTAAACCCTTTTACAGAAATTAGTTCTAAACAGAAATGAGATATTTTTTTAAGGTATTCATTCAGAGAGTGATGTGAGATCATATTGGAACTGTTAATTTAGTGAAGTATGTGACGTTGAATAAACGAACAAACTGCTGTTTAACTATATTATTATGTTAATTGATGAGTTTATTGACATATTATTAGGGGCAAGAGAATGTGCTATCCATATCACTTATTATCATATTTCCTTTGAGGTTTCCCAAAACTTGTCCACACCTTAAATCGTCTCAATTTTAATAGTTTCCCAATCAAAGGTAATTCGGGCCGATCATTGGGCAGTTTGCCATTTAAGGCTGACCCTATTAACAATAGGGTTTACATAAGACAGGTTCTAATGGCGGTTATCGAGCTGGATTAGTCTGATCAATTAAAGGCTATCGATCGCGGTCAGATTTGCTTTATTCTTGGAATCTCAGACCGAAGGCTCTAATGGAAGTATTTTTGTCGCAGTCTGAGAGTGAAATCGGATTTTAATTCGATATTGTAAAGTGCTTGTGATTTGTTTTTTCTATTTTTATATGTTGCCTGATGATATCTGTTTCGAGGAATAGATTTATCTAACTTTAATATAACGCGTTTAATAAGGTTTGTTTTTAAATTTGATAGCTTTCATAATTTTATTTCAACGTGATTTTAACCTGAAAACACTTTGATTTAGGATATTAGTCGTATTTAACATCTAAACAGGAACTAATTTACCTTAATTGTATGTATGTCATCAGGTAAAAGACGTTTTGTATTGAGGTTAATACCTGCATGTGTGTTTAAGTAGCTTCAGTTACAAACCATTTGATTGGCTTACAGACGCTGAATGCAAATTGTCTTATCCTCCATTTACCAACCACGCGCTAATCAATATGTCACCGCTATTTTAGAGGTATTGAATGTAACTGATTGCTTGCATAGTGCCCTACATTCTCTGGAATGCAATTAGCCAAACATTATGTACGCTAGCTGGTCTCCCGACATTTTGTTGAGGTAGGAATTAGTTGCGAAGAACATACATTTAATAATCGTAATGGCGAATTGTTTATGTGTGTAAATTTTAAAGTTTTTTTCATTTAAATATCTCTTAATAGATTTGTCTATTAGATATAGGAATTTGACACGTTTTATGTGGAGCTGACGGCAAAATTCTATCTCTAATGGATAAATCTATCGATAGATAAGTGTTTGAAAGTACTCATTTATAAATAAAATGTTTTGTTCTTCTTAGCGTTATCGGAAAATTAAGATGTTTTTCTTGATAAAATGCTCCTGGAGGTTGTTGATGTTTACACTGACAGTAAACGGTTTGTTTTAGTTTATCCAAGGGAGTGTTTATTAAGTTTATCTTTTCTTAAGAACAGCGTGGTGTGAGCTGTTTTTCTCAGCGTTGGTAATAGTATTTTGATTACGTTGCTAACGTGGCTTGCCGCCTGATGACATACATGGTCCTTGAAAATTGGGAAATAAATAATTGTCGATTTCCTGACTAAAATACTAGACATGCGTTTTAGATATACGATGTAAAGACATTTGGTTTTAGAGCATTGTACGACGCATTTTTTCGCGCTATGTACGATTTAATTGAACTAAAGGTTTCATTTTACCTATAACAATTCTGTGATTACTTTCAATTTCGCTGTTAATTGAATACGATAGAAATTCCGTCTGTTTATCGGCGTAGTCTAGTCGTAAGTATTCTATGATAGTTATTTAATAACCGTCGTCATTCCGTCGGTCATTCAGTATCGGGAATTCTGATATAGCTCCTCATTCCTCTTTGGCTGGGATACTATAGAGTTTAACTGATTGAACACGATTTAATCGGTGTTTCGTGTCTAACCAACGCCTCGATTTCTATTCAATCGGAACGCTGCGCAGTTCCGACGAGTGGGTACCAAGCAGTGTAGTGCTGCTTCAATCTTTGTTAGTAGCCATTCAAATGAATGAAGTTAATCGCGTAAGAGATGCAATCTATTCCAATATTGGACTATGTTGTGGTTTTTAAACTGTTTCGCTAGTATTTTGGCGGGACAATTTGAGCTACCGGTGCCAATATTTTGCTTAAAAGGCTTTTTGGGTTGTTGTGTTGTGATTTGGGAATGAAAATTAGATAAATTAATACTTTGGTACATTTTAGGATTTGAAAGGTAAATAATAAGTGCTTTTCGTTGTTATTATATTTGTTTACGGGCATGGCTATAGCCAATATATAGACGCATTAAGAAAGCTTATAACATATCTTGAAGTAATAGATGTTCTTCAAGTTTGATCTCTTAAATATTGTGTGTGTGAACTTGTTGAGACCAATTGATGGAAAGGAAATTGCTTTCAAAATTAAAATGAAAAGGAACAGTAAGGTGTGTTAATTAGGTATAATTTGTAGTCATTCACTAACGAGATAACTGGCTTAATTATCTCGTACAGAAAGTAAATAAGAGTGAAAAAGAACCTCAAATAAACGAGTCAGCAAATATCAATGTGGGATAACGCAAGAAAAACGAATAAGATATTTTTCGCGCTGCGATGCCAACGGGATTACCGAAGACGCGGCCTGGCTTTGATATTCTTTTTACTTATTCTCTGATAGCATTCGTCCATGAGTGGCCTTTTCATTCGAGTATTTTGTTGCTCTTTGCACTGATAACTTTTATAGATGGAATGAAATGTACGAATCAATTTTTAGGCTTCCATTTTATTGGACGGATTAAAACGCTCATGCGTCGCTCTAACACTTTTATTGTTTAAATCCAAAAGGCCATTCAAAAACTAGACGACGCGAGTAATAAAAATAAACTGAAAAAATTAAATGCAATCGGTTGTTTAATCTGGTCCGTGGCAGTAGAGGGATACACGAATGTTTTTCAATTAAATTGAGTGAGAGTATCGAATCAATTTTATAAATATTGGACATTTTGTGGTAACCGCGTAACTTTTATTGTTTTCCTTCGAAATGTTAAAAGCCACTGCTTAATGTGTTCTACATATAAACAGGTAAAGCAGCGGTTAGGGGATTTATACTGATATGTGATTTGAGAAGGTTTCTTTGCTAGAAGTTAAGTCTGAGGAGTAGTTTACGTGGAGAATGGGTTGATTATCGGTGAAGTATTTTCCGTTGGCTCATACAACGCACCTAGCGTTTAATGGTACTGGGACCGAGTTTTGGCAACGTTGAGTTATAAAAAGGCAGTCGTAGCGCGTTGCTCGTACTTAATGATGTTTGCCGCGCTGAAGGCGTCACTGATTTGGCACCGGGCCAACTTCCTTGAGCTTTTGTGACATCAGCGTGCAACTGTTGCTCAACTGTAGTTATATCTCGTACCTAAATGGTAAGAGAAGACTGTTGCTTGCTTCCGAACTTTATCCTTTTCTTATGCTTTGCCGTGACTCAAAATTTAACTGATCACCATGCCAATTAACACTGTTTACATAAATTTTGACTAAGATACGTATTCAATATTAAAAAGTCGCACGCGAAGCTTGGATGTTTAAATGAAATTCGCTAGACATGAGACAGTCGCAGGAAGCACAAGTTAGGAGCAAGTTCGTAAGTGTGTACAATTTATTTATGATGCAAAGTTGTTGACCGTCGGCGTCGCGGTCGCGTGCTGGAGCGCGGCGTCGGGCGGGACCTTGGCACTAGTTGCGGCCGTGTGGGGCCTTGACATCAGCGCGCGACCAGAGCTGTCACCTGCGGAGGTTCCTTACCGTTGTAGAGGAGCGTTGGCTCGGGGTCTCTGGGAGAAGGACCCGGGGCGGTGGCGGCGGGCGCGGGGCTGCGGCCGCGCCCCTCGCCAACCACGTCGATCTCCTCGTCAGACTCCTCGGCCAGCTCCGCCGCAGGGGCCACCTTCCACTTCTTGGCCATGAGGCAGCGCGGCATGGCGGCGCCCGCATCGGCCTCAGCGCGGCCGCATCAGCGAGAGACAGACGAACAGAGAAAAAGAGAGAAAAGAGAAAGAGCGGCGCCCCGGGCGAGCGGCTTAGCGGGCGATCGCGCGCGTCCTCTTGCGGTTGTGGGGAGCTGGTGTGAGGGTAGCGCTTTATATAGAACGCGGGGTGTTGCGCGCGCCGCCTCTTCGATCGCTGGGAGCGGAGGGGTGCTCATACTACCCCGCACAAACTTTGCTCGCCGCGCCAACTTTAAGCGACACTTGACGGGACGAGCACCGAACCCCACACACGATCAACCAGTGGACTCTAGTTCACCCTGAACACACGCGACTTGCCTCGATAACACGCTGGAGATAAGCTTATATCCAAGCGCAGAGAAAATCGCGGCGCTCAACTTTGCCAGACATTCAATTGTTTTATTTACTTTCAAACAGTTTGTTTGAGTAAGTAAAGTAACATAGAACTCAGCAAATGCATTTATATCACTGTGGATACAAGCTAAAGTAAAGCTATTGGCTGTTGGAGTCGTATATTTAAATGGTTTTTAAAGTTTAGTAGTTCGAAATATTAATTTTAAAAGTTTGCAAAAGTTTTCCGGCGCGCGGCGGGAAGCTGGAAAATGTTCATGTTTCTTTAGAATTGTTATGACATGGATAGTTCATGTGCAGGGTAGGTAGAAAACAAGGTTAAGTTAATAAAGCGTGACGTGTATTGTTAGCTAAAGGCGAGTTAGCTAAGATGAATGGTGAGCCGCTCAGGGCCTGCCTCCGACATCCCGAGGGACAAAGATAAGAAGCCCCTATAATACACTTATTTTTCATGTAATATTTTTATTGACAACTGAGCCACGCGCTGAAGAAGAAGTTTCCTCCGTGGAACAATGATGTTCCGTGCACTATAATACAAGTTATTTACTCACATATACATTTTAATTACTCATTTAAATGTCCTATATTAGTTTCGAAGCCACAATTGTAATTTTAAATAACTTTTGAAATAATTTGAGAAGTTTTGAAAACTTTGCGGGAACTTTCTGATTGGTTTATTATAAGTGTTAGCGTATGGAATAAGTTACATTTGTTTAACGATGTAGTTTAAAATCGTTTTATTTTTTATTGAAATCGTTTATAAAGTGATTTGGGAAGTAATTATGTAATGTTGCAGTGCGGGATGAGGAGGTTGGCTGCTTGCCAGGTAGGTTAAAGTAAAGGAGGGGTGGAAGTAAGAGATAATCAAATCAAATGTAATTTAAATACACGTAGGTATAAAATATCTCACCTATTGTTCCCGAAGGGGTAGGCAGAGGTGCACATTATGCCACTGTACAGTGTAACATCCACTTTCTACTATTTATATTATGAGTCCCATGTAATAGCGGGTGAGCTTATTGCCATATACCGGACACAATTCCAGACTTCGTGCTACTACTGAGATTTTTTTTAAATCCTAGTAATACTTTGCCCGACCCGGGAATCGAACCCGAGACTCCTTGCCCAGCAATAGCACTTGTGATCACTCGGTCAACGAGGCACTCGTACGTATACTTATAAAAATCTCCCGTTCCTGAGAGAATAAATAACACCCGAAATTACTGGACGTAGTCAATTAAAATTGTCGTGTAAACTGTTTGAGAAGTAGAGGAGTTAAAATAATTTGCCGTAGGTATATCGAAGTTTTAAGCGCATGTCAGTTGGCGGGCGAAAACGAAGTTTAAAATTAACTTTAAACGAAAAAAGTGCCGTTATCGAGCATTTTCCTGCGTGTGTTTGTAAACAACTCAACTCTATTTAGAGAATTGGCGACTGCAGTTCACTCGGCACTGTAGTAAATTTAAGCCGGTATTCTCGTACTATGTCATTCATTCGTTGATTCCAGTGAAACCGATTGTAGCTTCATTCAGTGAAGCCCTAATTTCTAGTTCAGTGTCAAGTTATTTTCAGAAAGTTCAAACACCTTTGACTGAATAAATTTCTGGATGAAGTTCTGGGTAATTTTATAGGAATAGTTCTTTACGAACTCAGCAGGGCTTTGACGGTAAACTTTTAATCCTCCAGGCTAAGTATTATCTTATGCTAAATGAACGGATTTATTAGACATCTCTTGTTAGTTTAAGGAAGCGACGTTTGTGGTGAATAGTTTTATGATTGCCATCGTAACTTATATTAATAATACTAGATTCTCGTTCGACGAAAGTATAGCTCATGTGTTATTACAGAATATAATGTATCCTTTACTACTGCCGGGCAAGAGGTCTCGGGTTCGATTCCCGGGTCGAGCACAGTATTACTGAGTTTTTAAAAAAATGTCAGTGGTAACACGGAGTCTGGAATTGTGCCCGGTATATGGCAATAGGCTCGCCGCCTATTACATGGAACTCATAACATAGAATAGTGAAAAGTGGTTGATACATAGTACAGTGGCATTAAGCGCCATAATGTGCACTTCTGCCTACCCCTTCGGGGATAAAATATCTTACAAACATACACATAAACACAAACTTTGGCATTTATGATATTAGTCAGCTACCATTTAATTATTAAAGAAGTACGAGGGGTACATTTTCAATAGGTATCATGTCTTATTCGTTGTATCTGATGATTTGATGAATCTATTTGCCAAATATATTGGGAAGAATTATACTATGTTCTGAGAACTTAGAATAATAAGTAGCTAATAGTCACAATATTTATTGGAGTATCGTTTCCACGATTAAGTCATTACGGTCAAGTGTAGATACATAAACTCATTTAAACTGTCAAACACCAAGCGGTCACCGGTGACCGCAACCTATTGTTCTATAATTGTGTCTATAATGACAGGTACTCGACGAGTTAATAAAAGGTTGATTTTTATTACACATAAAGATTTTATATAGTGGGAAAAGAATTATGTTATTAAGGATTTTTTATTATTAGTACCTAAACACATAGTTTAGCTTTGTGTACATCATCATCACATTGGTAAAGTAAGATGTCTTGAACAAAAGGCATTTGTTTTAACGCAGTCAACGAGCAGACGGATCACCTGATGATAAGCAATCTGCACCGCCCACGAACACCAGAGGTGTCCTGGGGTGTTACAAATGCGTTACCGGCCTTTTGATAAGGAATTTGAGGATTATTGGATATTCGTAGATTGGGGAGATTGGGAGGGGGATAATTGAGCCTCCGGTAACCTCACTCACATGACGAAACACAACGCAAGTATTGTTCCACGTCGGTTTTCTGTGAGGCCGTGGTATCACTGCCGTCGAATCATTCGTACCGAAGCATGATTCGTCCACACTCAAGAAAGGCGATTAAGAAAGGTTTTCATAATCACCATGCTTGGCAGGCGATTTGAAGATTGTAGTACGGTCTTTGAAATTTAAGAGGATGTTCTCCCCTGGTGTCTGTTCGAAGTTTTAGGATATACCCACGTAAAACACTTCCCTGTGGTTTAGCGTTGTTTCGTCTCAGTCCCACGGGACATGTACAATTGTAGCCGAATGTTTCACAGAATCGAATAAATAAAGAGTGTGAATTTCAAAGCAAACTTAAACTTTTCTTTTGGATAGTTAGCTGCTATATATTTGTGATATAATATGACAGCAATTTATCATTATACACTCGTGATAATTTATATTTAATAACATTTCCTAGAAGACTTATAGCTACATTTAAAATAATAGGGTAATTTCTTGAATATTGTTCCTGACAGATTTAATTAAAACATTAAACGTATGTTTTTTTTTCCTAACAGAATTAAATACTTACGACGATATATTGATTTGAAATATCATGTGACGTCACGATTTACCATATTTGTAGTGTAGGAAGCGGGTGTGATATTTCTTTTTCATACTGTAGTGTGGAAGTTAGGGATGAATATAAAATAAAAGGTATACGTCTGGTTAGTCCGACGGTCCGGTTAATTGTGTGTCAATACATAGTATAGAGGTACAATATTTATTAATAAGTATTAATAACTTGGCCGAATGGTCGTGTGACTGCCGGGCAAGGGGTGTCGGGTTCGATTCCCGGGTCGGGCAAATTATTACTGGGTAAATTAAAAAACAGTCTGGAATTGTACCCTGTATATAGCAATAGGCTCATCCCCTATTACATGGGACTCATAGCATAAATAGTGAAAAGTGGGTGTTACATTGTACAGTGACATTAAGTGCCGTAATGCAGTGGCGTGCACAGGTTTTCGAGACAGGGTAGGCAATTAAATATCGTATGATTAAACCCCTCCCCCCCGGTCATACAATGACAATCATACTCACACAAGACAAGTACATGTACAGAATACATTTTGAAAAGTGCGTTCAAGAATATTGTGGTTTATTCTGTCGCCAAATTACATACACTGACATCTCGCGTATTTTTTGTGAACTACTTCATCAGCTATGGAATAAGCCAACAAAACTTACAAATAATTGAACATCTATTAATTATACTAATAATGAAGCATAAATTTGATGAACCAAATTCAATTATCGAATTGCTAGATAATCTATTCAAAATCATAATAATATTATATTATATTATATTACGAATTTAAGAACGTAGGTACCTACCAACAAACAAAACAATAACAAGCGCGGCCGGCTGTGGCCGAGCCGAGTATTTATAAGCGGTACATTTGTTATTACATTACATAATTATTAATAATAAATTAATATGTAAATCAGTACAACCCGAAGTCTAAGTTGATATTTTTAAGAATTATCAAACAAGAAAATCAATAAAAGATCCATTAAAGTACATAATATTTACATTACCTACCTTTGACTTGGGTCAATTCTCGTAACTTGAGTACTGCCTATGGTCATTACCTGAATCTAGTCGTTGTAGGACACATTTTTGCGAAAACTTACTGTTTTTAACTTTCAACAAACACAAAAAATTATCTATTATCAACACAAACTTCACAATCGAATAATATAGGTACTTGTACTAGACACTGATAAACAAATACACTATTTGAAAAACCTACACATACATTTAACTACTTCTACACATATTTATGCAACTTTATGTTTAAAACTAATTCCTTATAATTTAAACGAAAACATAAACAAAGCGATCGCACATCACATGAAAACAATATGGCCGA